GCCATGAAGGTCCATTGGGCTGTGAGGGCTCAGGGAGGCTGTGAAGGGTTGTGGGGCCATGAGGGCTCTTGGGCCAGGCTGAACCGTTCAGTGCCAGCTCCCCTGCACTGTGAGGGGGACTGTGTGAGGTGAGTGCTGCTCAGCGAGGCTTCCCCTTGGTGGCCCCTCAGTCCTGAGCTGCGTGTGGGTGCTGCAGCCCTGTCACGAGGCAGCCGAGCACCCCAGGCTGGAGAAACCACCCTCGCCTTTCCTCTGACCCTTATTCCCAGCTTTGTGAGCACATTCCTGCCCAGACAGTGCGTCCATCGGTCACAGTTTCTATTAAATACACTTTGATTCTTATTTCAGCAGAGCCTTTCTATGATTAAATGTATCCATGGGGATGCCAGCTGGGTCTACAAGTCCCAGCATCTCTTGTTTTCGCACTGTAGCAAAAACTTGAAAGAGGCTCCTGGAGCCGGGGAGTGTCACCCTCCTGCCTGGTTAGGCTGAGGCAAAGGCAGCGGTGACCTCAATCCTGCCAACACACAGAGCACACCAGGCCAGCTCTGTGTCACTCGGGCGTTCATGTGACACACAGGGATGTTGTGGCTTGTGCACATATCCTGGGATCTGTTCCTGGATAACGATAATCCAATCCCTTGCCTGCGTCAGGCGAGGAGGTGGCCGGAGAAAAACAGCCCTGTGGAGGTTGAGTAGCCTCTGGTTGTTGGCTGAACATAAGGGTTGCGGTGATCGATATTTCTGGCATATAAACATCATATTCCCACAGAGGTGCTGGAAGGAGTCCAGGAACACTTGGAGCAGCCCTGGAGAGCCTGGAAGGAGCCCCAGAGCATCAGGGTCCTGAGAGGATCCTGGGACAGGCCCGTGTCAGCCTCAGAGGGGCCCAGGGAGACACACACAGCTCATCCTTCACATCTGAAACCAGAATGCAGGAGGTTTATGCAGTTTCCTTTGAGATAGCTGAGTAATGCAGAGCCATTAAGGTCCAGATTTATCCACTAATTACAGGCATTGATTGAATAGCAAACTCTGGGCTGTGTTCACACTGGAATCAGTGGAAAGGGTTGGCTTGGCCCACCCCAGCTCTGAGCACCACTGACAACACATTTCTGTCCTCTGTAATGGTGTTTGATGTGGCCAGTTCCAAAAACTGCAGCATCATTTCAGTATCAAAGGCAGCCAGGATGAATCTGGGCAGGACGTGCTCAAGATTTCATACGAGGCTGTGCTAATCAGTAAAGACAGCTTTTCCTGCAGGATGTGATGCCACCCCTTCAGAGCAATGCACAAAAGGAATGCAGTCTTCTTTCTGATGGAAGGCAGGGGATGGAGAATGCCTTGCCTGTGCTGTGCTCTCCAGGAAAGTACATTCAGCATCAATTCTCATCAGGTGTGCTCAGCACAGCGTTCACAAACGTGTGCACTCAGGAAGCCCTGGAAAACCCTCCCCAAAACGGAGCAGGGCTTGGAGGATGTTTCCTGGTAGAAGTGCTGCTGGATTTAATGCAGATACAGTTGGGGTTTTTTTTTCAGCCAGGGCCAGAAAGCAAAGGCCTGCACATCAGTGCCATCTGTGTCCTCACTTCCTTAGCAATCCCGAGCCTTTGTGCTTCCCACAGCCTGGCCTCAGCCAGCACTGCCTTTCATGTTTGGGAAGCTGCTCTGTAATGTGTGGAGTGAGCAATGGTTGCCACCCCCAGCATTCCCAGAGGCACTGTGAGAGTGGGAACCCTCTGCTCAGTGAAGGCTCCAATACCTGTCTCCGGAACACCAGCAGGATGTCTCCTGCAGAGCAGAGGTAGGACCCTGTGGGTAGTTAAATTTTGAGCTTCCAGAGGTTTCCCTGGGAGATTCAGCCACCTGAATATCTATGGGATAGGAGGCATTTCCAATTATTTGTGCAACATTTATTTTTGCTAATTCTAGCCCAGCCAGTGAGTACTTCTGTTCTTAGCTACAAGCACATCCACAGGAAATGACAATTCTATTTGAAATACT